GACACTAGCCTCAATGGCCCTACATAAAATCACATTAATGAATGTTAAATGGGACTGCTAGAGGCAGAAGCATTATTATTGGTGAATATCCTTCTGAGATGACTGCTACCTTAAGAATAAGACGCAAGTACAATTGTCAAATGAGATTTTTTTTTTTACAACCACAAGTTACATTTTATACTAAATATTTACCAACACAACATTTAATAGTATTTTTTTTTTTTTTTTTTTTTTTTTTTTTTTTGCACAGCAACGGTTGAAAGTAAAAGAACATTTCTGTAAGTAATTTCCCGTAACTACCAATATAAATATACAGTCACTTTTAAGATGCAAAATACTAGTAATTCATTTTGAGTTTTATTCTACACAGCCAAACAGATTAGCTGCATGATGTTCCCCTTATTTAAAGCATTAAGTTGGGCTAGCTTTCCTTAGAAAAATCTTTCATGAAGGTATCACTTTCCACATGCTGCGGTACTAATGTGCTTTACCCTAATTAAATAATTCACCTAGAACTTCTCCAAGCCTTGGCCTTGTCAATGGTTAAATATATAGGCTGAATGAAAAATTTTCAAATTTCCTCTGTATCTCTAGATATCAGATGAGTGGACCATGTACTGGGTTTTGTAAGGCTGATATGCTTGCAATTGCAGCCAGTTTGAAACTGCCTTCAGCATTTGGTGAGGGGAGTGGAAATACCTAAAATATTTTATCATGGATGGTAAGATATCTCCGCGATTACATGGCAGAGATACGGTTAAATTTTGTGTTAACTTCAGAAGTGTCATAATGAATACTTGAAATGTTTCAGTATGCATATGGTAAAGAAACATTTAGCCATGTTTTATATTTCAGTGACAGAGGTTCATCAAGGAGGTAACATATGGGTTACCAAAAAAGCCTGCTTTGGCAGGTTATAAATAGCAGTTATTGATGTCAATATTACACAATCACAGGCAGGCAGCAAACACTGACTATTGTGTAAATGTCTTGAAAAGCTACAAAGAAAAGAAAAACTGGATTTGCAAATACACTCTTTTGCAAAAAAATCGAAGCATCAAGGACTTTTGCAATTGTGACAAAATTTGGTAAGCAAAACCATCTTGATCGAACATGCAAATGAACAGGAATTGCGATCATAGCACGCATTTCTAATGCACAATTTGCAAAGTAAAGAACCAGTAACAAAGTCAGAAGATTTATCTTTTTTTGTTGCTGCCATTGTAATTCTGTGAAGAAGCAACTAAAGATGCCATTACGACGATATCGAAGACCTAACAGACAACTAAACGACTTCGAACATGGTCGCATTGTAGGGTTGTGTGAAGCTCGGTGGTCATACCGAGCAATAGGCCGCCACCTGCTACGTACAGACACGACTGTGCAAAGCTTGGCACAATGGTTCCTAAAGGAATTTGCCGACGAAATGAAGGCTCTGGAAGGCTAAGGAGCATAAATGCGAGGCAAGATAGGATGATTGTTCACCAGACCTTAACCGCCCCAACGGTATCATTGTCTGCTGTTCAACGCACTACAGCCATGTTTATATCTCCCATGGTACCGTCCACCATCTCACGGCGCTTGTCTGAGGCGGGGTTATGCTTACAGAAGCCTTTAAGACGTTTGCCTTTGACCCCACAACATCGGCGGCCGTCGGAGTGGGTCGCAGCGATCATCGGCTGGCTCGTATAGTTTCAAGATGATCCGTTGAAGCAGAGGGGACCGTGTTGTAAATTAATCAGGCATTTGGAGAATAAATAAATAAAATGTTTTTCTAACTCATTTCTGGCAACCCTAAAAAATGCCAAGACACACGGGCGTCAAACACGTCAACTATGTTAATCACGTGATATTAATATATCGCATCATCCTCTTGTTCTTGAGATATTAATTAAGCTTCTGTTTGTGCGTGTGTTAACATTAATGTATTTACCGCTTATATTATTTTAGTTGCAGTTTAATAAATATGTTATTAGTGTTTAAATCTGCATCGTATTATTTATGGATAAATCCCTCTCATCATCATCAATAAAGTTTCGGAGACTCAACTGCTGCTACTGAGTGCATAAAAGGTAAGCTGATTTTGCTATCTTTATTCTTCATTGATTATGAGACTGATATCGTTGTAAATCCTGAAACTGAAATTTATACTGTGTGTATACTATATAAACTTTCCGAAACTGTTAAGTAAGAATTAATGGCACAGGCAAGTCTTAAAAAGATTGTATGCAAATAACTAAACTGAATTCCGAAAATTATGCTAACTTGGAAATTCAAGATTCAAATGCTTTTAATGCGTGATGGGTTAGATATGATCTTTTTTATTCTCTCCCACCTTCTAAACCTGATGATGAATTTTTAAAAAGGGATAAACAAGCACAAGCTATAATAAATCTATGCATTGATGACTCTCAGATTATTCATGTTAGAGATGAAACCACCGGAATGAAGATTTTTGCCATGCACCGGCGGATTTCTGCCGGTACACGGCAGAAATTAAAGTCAGTTCATGAGCGCTCAAATTTGAGTAGCACACTATATCTTCTGAGAAAATTATATTCAATAAAAATGGCAGAACATGGTGATATGATTGTACACATCACTCATATGATGGACTTAGTCGAAAGACTGAAAGCTATCGGTGAGACTATTCGAGATCAGCATGTAGCTGCACTTGTTAGTTATGTGGCGAAATGGCCTCAGAAAATAAAAATCCACTTCACCAGGTTTAAAATACTACGGTGTTTACTTTACGAAAAGAATACGAAAACGTAGTTAGAACACATCTTTATTCACGTTTTTAAACTTAACTGCCAGATAGAACATTCTAAGTAAACAATATAATTTTGTTGCTATTCCAAAAAGGTAAATATAAACCGATATAACTGCATTCATTTCCAACATTCTCCCCACCATGCAAAATGGGATTTTTGCAACATCAATATAACTTAAAGTTTTAAACTAAAATTTAAAAAATCAATAAAATTCATATAGTTCCAAATTCTCAATAAATTCATAAGTCTAGTCTTTGTGGAGGATGTATCTCTGACAAGACGAGTTTTTCTAAAACATCTTGGATTACTTATTTCCTGTTCTTTGATAGGTGTATATTGAACCTTTTGATCGTTTTGTTTTATTTTATAAATTTGCTTGTCTCCTACATTATTCTCCGTGAAAGGGAGTTTATTTGAACTATTGCTTAGTTCGAAAGAAGCGTTGAACTGGTCCAGAGGATGTTTTTAGCTTCACAAGACGCGTGATATTATCTTTCCCTGGGGACAATTCAAGTACTCGATCCTACATCTAGTCTATTCGTTTCTTGCTATCATTTCCGATGAGAACAATGTCATTCATTTTAATTATTCCTCTTTTACCCTTTGCAATATTTCGGAGAAATCCTAGATATTCCTTCTTAAAACGATTTCTAAGTCCTTCTCTAACTCGTTGTAAATATTTCCATCTTTCTATCATGCTCATAAAATTGATTTCATCTAAATCACATACATTACTGCCAATTAAGTTTTGTAGGAACATAGAAGGTTTTAACGGTGCCAAATCATTACCTTCCTCCGACAGGTAAGTCAAAGGTCTGTTGTTCATTAGGCTTTCACATTCGCACAGGGGGTTTAGAAATTCTTCATATCCTAAACAAGCGAGTCTCAAATTTTTTCGTAGGAGATCCTTTAAAATTCTTAATAACCTCTCCCCAAATCCTCCCCACCATGACGCTGTGGGAGGATCGAATTTCCATTTCATTTTCATTAATGCACACTTTCTTTAGATATCAGCCCAATCCAATTGATTCATAGCTTTATTTAAACCTACGAAATTCGAACCATTATCCGAGTATATGACTTCAACTTGACCTCTTCGTGAAATAAAACGTCTAAATACATCTATAAAGACGTTTGTGCTCAAAGAAGTAATTAATTCAAGAACCACAGAACGTACAGTTTTTTTACCTTTGATAATCCAAACTCTTTCTCTCAAAATCATTAGAAGTGTTTGCGATCCAGAATGTTTATGTTCTAAGTGTAATTGCTTGATCATTCTTTCTACAATTACATTTTTGGAAGGTAGCAATATAGGGAATGCATATTCCAGCAAAACTGAAGAATCTAAAACTTGAGATTTCATTCTTAAAATTCCATTTTCATCAACGAAAATCTGAAATTTTTTAGATCAGACTTTTTTCATTCTTCTTCTAAAGCATCCTTTTGTATACGAAAAAATAAAGTTTTTTGGCCTTTCTCGAATTCTTCAGCAAATATATTAGCCAAACGATTTTCATTTTTCATATAAGTGGGTCGGAATCTTAATATCGAAGCAATAGTTCGTACAATCATAGAATATTTCGAAAATCTGGAGGCAAGTTTAGCTAGACTAGTTTCAAACGTTGCATTCTTTGCGAAAATGACATTTCAACGTCGTCCTTTATCGATTTCTTTCATATCAAAATGAGGATCATTTGAAGGCCAAGTTTCTGGAGGTTTCTTCCGAAATTCAGGTCCTGTCCAGCATTGGGATTTTAGGAGTTGCAATGAATAGCATCCTCTTCACAATAAATCAGCAGGGTTTAAGATCTCTGGTATATGTTTCTAACATCCTTCTTTGCTGTAATATTGAATCTCTTTAACTCGGTTTTCTACAAAAACAGACCAATTAATTATATCGCTTCTTTAGCCATGCTAAAACCACTGAAGAGTCTGACCAAAAATAAGTCTTTGTGTTTATACAATTCATGCTTTTAATAGCCAATTGATATAATTTTACACCCAGAAGTGTGGCCATTAATTCCAACCGTGGTAAAGTGATCTCTTTCAATGGTGTAAGTGGGGATTTTGCTAGGACAAGACTCAAGTAAATTTCTTCTCGTTCTTCTGTTCTTAAAAATATACAGGAACCATAAGCTAGTTTACTTGCATCGCAGAAGACGTGTAAAGAGCTTGTTGAATTGATGAAAATTCTTGGGATTCGGCAGTCATTCAAAAAAAATGTACTTCTGTAGACCATTTACTGAATTCTTTCTGAATGTCTTCTGGTAGTTCCTCGTCTCGGTCAGGCTTTAATTTCCAAGTCTTCTGCAAAACAATATTTGGAATAAGTAGAGCTGGTGAAGAAATTCCTATAGGATCAAAAACTTTCAGAATGCATGAAAGGAGGATTCGTCTTGTAGGAGCTTCAGACCAAGATACTACTCGGCATCCCAATTCATCTGGTGGGCAGTACCACTGAAGACCGAGCCCATTTTCTGGACTCTCATTCAAATCTAAACTACTTTTCCAACTTCTAAGGTTGAACCCAGCTGTAGACATCAGTTCTGTGGCCTCATTAATGTGTGATTCGTTTTCTTCTTCTTTGAAAATACTAATAACGCAATTATCCTTAGAATGCGCATTTTAACTTTTTGAGATCTTGCTTAAATGTTCAGGTGGATTTTCTAACAAATTATTTAGGCATGCTGAAAGAAGAAATGGAGAACAACAAACACTAAAAACTACACTTCAAGCCTAAATTCAACAATATTTCGTTTTTCCCACCACAAGAAGCGTAGGAAATCTCTGTCTGCTGGATCAATTTCAATTTGTAGAAATGCCTTTTCTATATCGGAAGATAAAGCAATTGCATAAATTCTAAAACTAGTTAAATCTATCAGAATTAAATCTATTAAATTTGGTCCAACTTCCAGACAATCGCTCAGAGAAGATCCATTTTCATCTTTGTTTGATGCATCAAATACTGGCCTAATTTTCATAGCACTACATTCTTTAAAAACAGCTCTGTGTGGTATATAATGGGTCCTTTCATTTGTATTTGTTTCCGGTACAACTTAAATTATTCCCATTTTCCACCAGTCTTTAATTACAACGTCATATTCTTGAAACTTGTTTAGTTTCTTCGATGTATTCTGGATTCCTTTTTTCAGCAGCCTAAGATTAGATTGTAAGGAAGGGCAACCATCAATTCATGGAAGACGTACTACATAACGTTCCTGTAGCTTCATTTCGTTTGATAGTATTCTCAAAACATTTCACGACTTCTTTATCTTTTTCTTTCTGTGTAATCCTTTCAACAGGATCTGAAATGCCTAGTGTTTCTAACTTCCAAAATTTCGATGTTTCAATAGAGCATTTCATTGAAATAAGTAAACAAGAAAAAATAGACGTTGGGGCGTAACTACTACCTAAGAGTGTCCAACCTAAAGTGGTTCTAACAAGCCACTAAATTCTTTTCAACAGAAACCACCTCAGGTGTTACAATTTTCGCCCAAGCTTCTGCGCCTAATAAATAATACCTGGATATCTTCCGAATAATGATTATCTTTTAAATAGTCACTTATCTCAATTCCTTTACTTTTAAGGATTTGATAAACATTCTCATTTTTAAATTTTGGTACGTTGGTACAAATCTGATCAGATCCAATAACATCAAATTCAAAAACAATTTTAGAATCAAGCCTTGATAGCTTAGTTTTGTACATATCATATGTCGAGAACGGAATCTTCTTACCACCGAACAATGCTTACGATAAAGTTACCTTGCGCTGTGGTATCAAGTTAAATTCTTTTGCAATCGAATTCTTAATATAACTTTTCTGAGAGCCTGGATCACATAATACTTTCACTGGATATGTTTTATTATCAACAACAATATGTTCAATCAGAGTTTGTAAGTATGAAATGGAATACTTAGATGAAATAGATAAACTTTTAACTACTTCTGATTCATTTTCATTCTGAGACATTTTATCATTTTCATAATTTCTAATTTTGGAACACATTATAGAATAATGTTGACCTTTACATAATGCACATCTTATAAAAACTCGACATTTTGAACTCATATGACCCATTCTTAAACATTTAAAACAAACACCTTTCTTCTTCAGTATTTTATTACGCTCATCAATTGAAGAATCAGCAGCTGCAGCACAGTCTTGAGAATTATGACTTTTTCTATCACAAAAAATGCAAACTCTTTTTTGAATTCGAGAATTCTCTGTTGAAAGTAAAACAGCAGCTTTAGGAATATCTAGTAGACTACTGTTAATTCTCGAATTAACTTTTGTTTCGCCATTAAAAGGAAATTTTCTTTTATCATTAAAAGAACCTTTTCTAAGTTTTAAATCTTTCCTTACCTTCTACTTCTATTTTTAAAAATTCCAATAATTCGCATAAACAATCATCAGGATTTTTAGTCGAAGCCTTTTTAGTTACCCGGTGTCTTTCCCAGATCTTAAAAATGTTTTCTGGAATAACTGAATTAGGGGGAAAAGCATCGCTGCATATTTTTCTTCAGTTACGCCTAAAAATTCTAAAGCACATAATTGTGTTTCTAGTTTGTCATAGAGTTACAAAATTGGAATATTTTTCCCTTTTAATAGAACTAGAGACAATAATTTATGAACATAGAATTCTATTAAAAATTCTTTCTTCCCATATATTTAAAAGCTCTATAGCTTTCTCATAATTTTCTTTTGATGATGGGAAACCTTCGATTAATTTTTGTGCTAATGACCCAGGTTTCAGACTAAGTCTCAAATATTCAAATTTATCCTCATCTGATAAAGAATTATCATTATGAATTTTGGTAAACTTATAAGGTATTTCTCCCACTTCCCTAGCGTGCCTTCGTGGTGTAACGGTAGCACGTTGGGCCGGTATTCCAGAGGTCCGTGGTTCGATTCCCGGCAAAAGCGTTGTTAATTTTTTATCTTTTCTGCTTCAAAAAAAAAATCCTTATGACTCTACAAACTGTCCCCAGTAACCAATCCAGTTTCTTACATCTCCATCAAATTTTGTTAATTCTATCTTAGGTAATTTTATCTGAGTTTTGAACCCAGTCTGACATATAGCTTCAGCATCTGAGAGTACTGTTTGAGTAAAAATTGTTTCTTTAATTTTAAGAAATCTTGATTTGTGCTTACCATATTTCGCCATTTCCTCTTCCACCTTATCTTCTGTCACATTTTTATCTTTCAGAAGTTCTTCTAAATGAGTGGAATTTAGAGCATTAATCCTTTCATATTTTATTTTTAATGCTTCAAATTTTGCTTTCAGTTCTGTTTTATCGCCACTACTGGAGATAAGTTCTTCTAAACTATTTGCTTCTACTGTGAACAACCGCCGAAGAACCTGTCGTTCTCTCGTATCCATAATCTTAATGCGCAGTTTTAAATCAGAAATAAAACTTAACACCGTAGTTCAATTTATGACTGACTTTATTTAAAAGTCCCTGTTCCGGGCACCAAAATGTGGCGAAATGGCCTCAGAAAATAAAAATCCACTTCGCCGGGTTTAAAATACTACAGTGTTTACTTTACGAAAAGAATACAAAAACTTAGTTGAAACAGACTCACATCTTTATTAACATTTTTTAAAACTGCCAGATAGAATATTCTAAGTAAACAATATAATTTTTGTTGCCATTCCAAAAAGGTAAATATAAAACGATATGACTGTATTCATTTCCAACAAGTTACAATTCCTGAATCATACAATAATCTTATAACCGCCATTGAAGCTAGAGAGGAAACTCTTATAATTACAAATCTTGTAAAATCGAAACTCATTGATAACTACAGCAGAAGATTAGAACAACAAGCAGATCAAAATTCTAATTCTTCAACCGCGTTTAAATCTGCAATAAATGCAAGAAATTATGATAAAAATAGACAAAGAAATTTTTTACCTTTTGTAAATGCAGTGGTCATACTCGTGAGTGTTGTTATAAATTGAAAAACAAAAATAAAAATTCTTGTCCTGACAACTCAAAATCCGAAAATCGGGTGACCAAACATGTCGGAATATGGAACCGGCATTGTATGAGCGCAGACACTTCCGTTAACCACTTGCGCTAAACAGCACGTCGTCGATGGCACGCACGTCGAGATGCTTTTGTCTCAAACCGCGAGCGACGTGAACACCACGTCGATAGGCATTTATCGCAAAAATGAAAATAACGTGGTGCACACGTCGCCTAACCACGAGACTGTTTATTTCTCTAGTTACAGCTTTGGATTGCACTCGCAGACGCGTAGCGACGTAAATGAGACACTTTACCGCTTGTTATATTGTAGCGCACGGCATCGCAACCGTGAAGTTTAGTCGTAGCGCAAGTGGTTAAAGAAAGTTATAAATCTAGGTGTCAGTCAAAAACACTGCTTATGAAAAGGAGTTAATAATTACTCCACGATATTGCTCAGAACAAAATATAAATAAAAAGATTTGGTACGTCGATTCCGGCGCCAGTAGTCATCTAATAGGAGTTAAAAGTTTGTTTACAGAACTGAGACATCAAGACACTCAAGCAAAAACCATTTTAGCAGATGGAAAATTTTTATATTCACAGGGCAGAAGATTTGTTTACCTTGATTTAGAAAAGGAATGTGGATTACAGAAAATTCAGTTGACTGATGTTTATTACGTTCCTGATTTAACCACTTCACCGGCGAGCAAAACTTCTATATTTTGTAACATTTTTCTCTTCCAAAGGTAAACATTTTGTGTCTGAAATTTAGCTCAGTTAACGAGAGAAATATTTCCTTCCCCCTTCCACTACCTGGGAGGTCTATTGAGAAATTCGATTGAAATGAACCTGAGCCCCGTACTTGTCACCCTCAAGACGTCAGTGACAAACCCCATAAAGGCGACCATCGAACACAAAGCTGGTACCTCGTAGAGGAGATATTATCAGCTTTGACCACACTACCATTTAAGACCAAGTATGTCGTCCCTGGAAATCTGTTTTATAATTATTTTAAATATAGAAATAATTTTAAAGTGTAATATATGCATCATTTTATAAATAATAAAAAACTATATTCGTACGAAATATTCCTAAATTAAAAATCTTACATAAAAAATAATAAAATATCTTATATATATATATATATAAATGTGTGTGTGTGTATTCGGGGTAATGATGTGATGATAAAACGTGTTAAAAACTCGCATCCGTCTCACTAATGCTATGCATTTTAGGACTTTTCGATTTGCATCTGATAATTAGTAAGAAGAGTAAATCGATTGAAAGTTATTCAATGCAAATACCATTTTTGATTGTGAAATAAAAGCTTTGTTAATTAAAGCAAAAATCATATATTTCTTATTGAAATAGCTATAAATAATGTTTGCTACTATTTTCTTAATGCACTGTAATAAACACGCTCGAATTACTTCTCATATATTTTCATACATTTAATTATTAGCCCAAAGCGCTATTAATCTCATATCGGGATTTTTCGTCCTGCACTTTAAATGTCTGAATCATTTTTAAATTGTTCCCACCAAGTATGTTATCGCTTGCATTTTTT